CAGTAATCCCGGCTGTACTCATCAACAAGTTGAACGACTTGTTGAAAAGTGACATCTCAAAGAGAAGTGCTTCAACTTGGATGACAAGCTGCTGGACACAGTGGAGGACTGGCTCTTGTAACAGCTACAGGAATTCTGGGAAGAAGAAATCCACTGTTTCAGTTGAGCTTAGGCCTTTGGTGATTACTTGTGAATAAAGACTTAAGTACATCTATTGTGTCATTTCATACCTTTTCATTTGAACACCCCCCATAGATTAATGATTAAATAAAAATTAAATTTAAGTTCTTGCTTCATTTGATGAATATTAATATTTCACAGTGAAAAATTAGTAAACAGAGTTTTTAAAATCAGAATAAATTAGAATTATTTAATTATTTTAAAACGGCTTAAACCTAAAGCAAAATGTCATTAAATTAAATGTCAGATAGATGGCTAGAAGATACAGAACTAGATGTAGACAACTAAAAGTATTACACAAATAAAAAATAAATAAATAAAAAAATAAGAGATGAGACTAGTTAGAGTAAAATTATTCATGTTGAAATAAAATGGAAAGAATTTAAAAATAAAATAAGCCCTGTTTAGCTATCCATATCAAAAGAAAGGCCTCATATGAATATACTATACATTGTTACTATTTGAACACTTTTAAATATCTAAATGATGAGTTTATATTAGCCAAATATTTTATTAGTTACTTATCTCTGTCCATCTATATTTATACACATACTGTCGAGCAACGAGTGCCTGATGTACCAGTCGCAGCCACTATCCCACCAAAAGAGAAAACTTTTATTTAAGAAACTTCATAATAAGTCAAACAGGAAAATCAAAAATAGGCTTTACATCTAAAATCATCTTGTACATTTTTATGAATCGTTTCCATTTTTATTCTGGTATTTATTATTATTATTATTATTATTATTGCCTTGAATTTTGTTCAATCAAACATTTTGCAAATCATTCCAATTTGTAAATACCCTGCTTGCTTCTTGTAAGCATAATTGTGGTCACATGAATAAGATTGCTGAATACTGGCAGTTTGCCCGGTATTTGATCCCAGGCTAACGTGTTGCCTGCATGGTGGTTTTCCGCATGTGAAACTTGAATACAACCTGTTTCCCTTAGAAAGTCCTTCACAGCGGCTTCTTTCCCTACAGGCAGATAGCCGTCATCTGCTGTACTGTATTCTAGTCTAATTTGCAAGCATAATATTAGTGATTTTGGAAATGAGATAATAGTGATTTTGGTATTGATATACATATCAAACATGTGTACATAACTAATTTACTAGGTTATGCATTGTACTTATTTTCAATCAACCTCTGATTTTTAGAATAGACTTTTGTGAAATAATTCCATCATAAGAACTTTTAAATACTTCCATCACAAGAACAGGACTGAGATAATGATAAAATGAAAGAAATATTCATCTTGGTTGAATGATTTTAAAAATACTAAATTATGACTTGCAATGGGAAAATTATCATCAACCATAAAAAAATTTTAATCTGAATTAAGTAATTCACATTTTTTTCAGTTTCAATAAACACGTTATACTGGTTTTGCAATAATGAAGTTTAGTTTAATCAGATTTTCATTATATAGAGTAGAATCCCAACTATACCAGATAATGTGGATTACCTCGAATGATTGAAAATATGTATAAATGTTCACCTATAATTTCATAAAAAGTTAACTTTAAGAAAATTTGCAGTGTTATTACGCAAAGTGGCAGATTGGCCAAACAGGCCCTGGCAGGAAAAAAATATGCCTGGTCTAAGGCCCCATATAAAATGTCATTATGCACTTAAGTTTTCAGTGTTATCATAATCATCATAAAAAGTAACTTTATAAAATAAAATATACTTTTGCAGAAAAGTAACACTATTCATATATATATATATTAATACAAATAAAAAGATAATTTTATTTGATTTTAAAGTGTACATTATGAAAATAAATATGTCTTCTTTAAAATTAGCTTTTTTCCAAAGTATCTCAGAAGCCTTTAGTTTAATTCTTAAAGTTCAAAATATCTTCTTTTTACTGAAAAAGGGTTATATCTGATCACTTTAATTAAAAAATAATCATGGAGCATGCAAATACGGATATTAATTTATACTTATTATTTATATTCAAAATAATATATTTATAAAGCACTCAAAACAACACATTATAAACAATGACTTTTTTTTCTTTTAATTCACAACATTGGCCACTGACATATGAAACTTTTCATTCAATGAAATTTAAAGTCATGTAAAATATATACAGTTTTTACCTTTGTAATCTAGCTTTCCTAAGGACAGTTTATTGAAGTTTCTATTTTATTAATTTTTATCTTTAATAAAAAAATTATGCGGACAAACAGAAGCCTCAAATTTATTAATTAAAACTTCCAAGAACAAAAATTGACACAAAATTAAGTATCAATCAGAAATATTAATATAATTTCGCTTTCAGTTTCTGGTATAAATGTGCATAAATTAAGGTACTTTAAAAACTCAGAAATTCCAAGAAAAACACATAATCTTATGAAATAAAAGACTATGACTAGTATTTTTATTGTACTATTTATTTTTATTGTATTAATATGAGGTACTTTCCTTAAAACGTTCTCTTTGAACCACATTTCCTAAGCGATAATTTCTCAGCAGTTCCATGATAAAATACCTACCTTCCTTAGCAGAAGCCATAATAAAATGCCTACCTGTCAATATATAAAATAATCTTTCACAATAAACCAATTACTGATCACTTCTAGAGAACACTGCTTAGAGATAATTCACTACGTATTAAGAAAGACCAAGAAATAAGCAAAAATGTATCAACTCAAAAAATCGAAAATTAAATACCTACTGAAAGAAATAAAAATTACTTAAGTGGGAAAGCTCAATGCAGTAAATCTCCTCTGAGGCCAACATTTACAGTTCTAAATGATTTACCTTTCAGTGAAGCTGGTTGTCTTAGAAAGATTTCCAAATTTCCCAGCTATACTGGTCACTTTTAAAAGTAGTAATCTAAGAAAGATGGTTAACTATATCTTATAAAAGATCCAGCAATAGCTAAAAAAATTTTGAATAAAATGTATCTGAAAAAATTTAATCATATTTTTAAATTATTCATAAAAATGCCTAAAAATAAAGTTAAATATATAAAAACCTCTTTAAAGCTACCACTTACAATTCTACATCTTTTTAGTCTCCTATGAATGTGATCATCTTTAGAGAGGTATTCTTTAATACCCATATTTACTTACATTCTCAGAAACACTAGTTATCTTAAGAAGACTGTTGCCAAGAGGATTCACAATAATTATGTATTCTTTCTGAAAAAAATCTGCATTTATTTTCTAGGTATAATTTTGAATTTGAGTCTTCTCAATGAATATTGTAAAAATGAATCAGTATCCATTAATATTCCCTTCCTGAAATGGCCAGGCTTTCCTGCCCTTATGCATAGAGACCTAATGTGCTTTGCAATAATCCAATAAATCCAAAACCTTTAGTGAAATATTATGTAGCTTCTACCTGATATGTTTTGCCATAAATAACGAATCAACATTGGAATGAGGCTATACATAAATTACATTAATGCCATTTTTAAGAAGACAAATGAACTCAAACAAAACAAGACTTAATTTTTACTATATATCAGATTAACAGAGGTAAAAGAAAATAATTTTACAGTTTGATAATTACTTAAACAATTTCAATATAGGCAACTCCAATGCGTGCACATCTTCCCTTTTCTAATTTTTTAAACTACTTTTTTTTTTTCAAAGAAAAACTGCCAATATTACTTTATGGAAGAAGTTAATTAAATAATGACTTTTAATAGTTAATACATAAATTTAAAATTCTATTAACTGTGTAGCACTAATTACATACTCCTGCATAGCATTAATTTTCTATGTATTTTCAGCTTTTGAATCCTAAAGTTTCTTTCTTGCTTCTTAGCCCCCCCCCCCAAAAAAAACTGCATAAAAAAAATATGAAATATACAGATAAAAATATTCTTCATTTTTATTTGCACTTACAAATTATTCTGAGAATATGCCTTTCCAACTTTTAAAGCCTGAAAAACACATGTCTGTGATGTTATCATCATGTGATGATTTGTAGATGCTTTACTTTTATCACAACATTTTTTAACTACTTCATTTTTTATGATGATACCACGATGTTTTAGAGCAGGGTTTCTTAAACTTTTTCCAGTCACAACCCCTTTTTGTTACTAAGATTTTTTCGCAACCCCCAGAACCCCATAATATTTACAAAAGTTTTGTGGGACCCCATAAGTATTGTGCAAATCTGACACACGCATGAGTGAAACTGTTAATTTTTTCACTTGTACTGTAATATACTATTGCAGTTTTAGGTCATTAATTTCTAATTTTAAGACAGCACAAAGTGAAAATTTTAAATAAGTAACAGATGAAATGACAGCATCATGTGCAAAGCAAGGAAATGAACGTTTATACTAATATAAAAGGAATCCGTCAAAACATTTTCATTTTTTAGTTTGTCTGTATTATTGTCTTATCTTTATCTATTTTCAGATACATTGTGTAAAATAGTTGGTAATTGTAAAATTATTATAATAAGTTAAGGAAATATCAGAACTGCTAAAATTTTTGGCAACCCCCTGCTGCAGGTCCCCCAACCCACACTTTAAGAAACGCTGCTTTAGAGCTAATTTTTTTTTTTTTTTTTTGCTCTATCTTCTCCCATGATGTTCTAGACATTTTTTCCTTGTGTTGTCTTCGCAGTGATGTTTTCGTCTGCAACCACTAAAATGGTTGCTTCAAATTTTACTTGTGATACACTGTTTATTAATTTGCACATCACAAAGATATCCTCGCCCCCCCCAAAAAAAAAACAGTTACATGGCTACTCTTATTTATGACTTACCCTGCATTTACAAAATGTATGAGAAATACACATGAATATTAGCCTCATTTACACAATTCCATAATAATATTAAATACTTACCAATAATATATTACTTATATTATTTTGAACAACAGTTTTTTCATCTGTACTACATAAAATCCCTATTAAATTATATGTTAAGGAAAAAAAGAAACAGAAAAATAAATATATATGAACACTGTCAATTATTGCTACTAGCAAATTTCCAAATAAAAAATGCACAGAAAATTTTCTGAATGTTTCCCAAACAGTAATGTAATATCAAATCCTGATATAATATATATATTTGATTATTACTGTATATAACTCTTAAAAAAAGTCATTATTTGCAAATACTGGGAAAATAATCAATGGCAAGAATGTAAATAATTTTTCTGTCTAACCATGATATTAAATACACAATGTCAGCCATCAAAACAAACTTATTCCGTATCGAAACATGACTATTATAAAAAATCTTGACATGTACTATGACTAGTTATAGCACATAAACAATTCGCACACATTATTTGCCAATATTTAAGGATACAATTGCTGATTATCTCAATGCCTAATAAAATATAGTCTTGCACACTAGCAGATAAATATGCAGAACGCAAAGCAGTGGAAAGTATGCTAGAAACAATTGGACGCCATTTTTCAATCCTATAGTCCCAAAGTACATGCTTCAACAAGCTGTAAAATAATGAATTTTCATTAAAGCCACAATACCATACAAGGAAAGCAGAATTTTTCAAAATTACTAGTAAGAAATAATATAATATTTATTATTAAGCCAGTTTATATAAAATTAAAACACATAAAAAATATTAAATGTTACGCAAGTTTTAAAAAATGCATAAATATGTTTATTAATTCTGAAAAATAATGGAACATGTATCTCCAAAGTTCTATGAAAACTCAAGACTGGTTACATCTAAAAATTCTACATACAGTGGCTCAATAGCAATTCTGTCTTCAAAAATCATTAGTTTGGTGTACTTATCCTAGTAATTATAAACTGCTTTTACAAAAGCATGATTAATATATCAATATCACCACATTATATGTCTGTAGTATCCTGATAAGTTTTAAGATGCTAGTTCATATAAAAAAAATTCCCTAGCTAGATTTCCTTTTTATATAAATAGATGCATAAAACAAAATAGTTGATTTCATTATCTTTTTTCAAAATTTAATTCTTTTAGACATAATTTATTAATAAAAAATAGCATTCTACTAAGCAGGGGCATGCCATCCATATGAGAAAGGTCATGCTGTGCTCAATGGTGGCAAGGCCTTCAAAAGGCACCTAGAGTAATTTTATTATCTACCAATACTAATCGGTGGTGAAATTATAAACCATTCACTTAGACTGTTCACCATTCAGTCAAAAGTTTTCAGGTTCAAGTTTGCAAAATTTCAGGTTTACTTAAACACTTTTGCAGTCGGTGCAGGTTTATTGATTTTTCATTATTCTCCTAAGTGTGCGAGCCATATGAGCATACCAAATATATGTATTCATTAAGTCCTAATTTGCTAATACAGTGATTGTGAAAAGTAATTAGAAAATAAGATGAGTTATTAAGTGAATTCAGCTTCAATAATTAATTACAATAAGTATAATGCTTTAATCAACTTTAAAAAAGCTTACGTAGTTGTAACTACATATTCAGTTTACCAAATTTCTATAAATACGTAATGAAATGTGGCATTACAGTAGTTCTAAAACTTAAAATTTTGAATTTTCTTTAATAATTTCTTTATATAAAACAAATAAAACTTTGTGCTTCCTAATTCTTAGTGTTTTACTGATTTTATTTAGATGGCCGAGGAGAAGAAAAGAAATTGTCTAGTTGTCAAAACTTGTTTAACAACCAATACTGGGAGGAAGACTTAAAGAAGAGCAATTACCAGCTTTTTTCGGAAGCTCGCACATTTTTGAAACAGTACTTCTACTCATAACAGTGGTTTTGTGAATGGGTTAATGATGTAAATATTATCTTAATGAAAGGAAGTTTATGAAAACAGAGACTAAAATAAGCAAGCATACAAATTTAGCTAAAAAATGCAGGTCTTCATGTGCAGATTCAAACAGCCGTGCCACTTAGAGGGTTAAGAAAATATTCCGTATATATATATATAGAGAGAGAGAGAAAGTTTTATTCTATTCTGTATATATATATATATATATATATTTGTATACAGAATAAAACTGACTATAAATCTACTAATCTATTATTTCACAGCACTCTGCATGACATTTTGTATTTAGCATCATAAAGCATAGTTAACATTTTACTAATTGGATTTTTTTCTCTATGGAGATGATCTATGAGACAAAAATATCTTTTTCTCTATGAGATCAAAAAGATGAATTCAGTATTTACACAATTATTCTAATTTCAGTGCTAAAAGCATTTTCATGTGATACTGTACATTATTTCTAGAAACTTTGTAATTGGAAGTAAGCGCCTTGGATTAATATTTAAAACAATAAATCAGCAACCATCTTTTCTGAACACATTGTAAGCAGATTACACCCCACAGATAACTTTGGAGTTACCTGGTTAAAAAAAGATGTCAAAGGGAAAATGGCTCATATTAGTTAGACTAAAGAAAAACAACAAAAGCCTTACTGTTCTCCTAGAAGGAACCAATGTTAGAATGCAACGATCAGCATTCTAAGATTTTATTTTAATCACTTACAACCATTATGCATGGTTAAGATTCATAAATGACAGTGATTTTTAATAACACACTATATTCATTTTTCAACTTTATTTTATTACTTTTCTTATTTGAATTAGCTTTTAATGATTTTATTCTATTATTTATTAATTACTATTTTATTTGACTTTATGAGCAACATGAGGAATGTTACAGAAACTTTCAAAAAAGTTTTATAAATCACTAAGTAAAAAAATCTATAGCTAAAATATCAGCAATAAAAACTGACAAAATATATTATGCAATGAAAATAAACATGGGCCTCTTCATTTCATTTAGCATGGACATAGCACTGTTAAAAATTAGAAATTAAGAATATGCTGTCTTTTTTTTTTTTTTTTCCCCTACATGCTTCACATACTATTTGAACTTAGAATAACATAGTAAATAGAGTAAGAACTTGCTTTTTTTTATCACAATTATTTTCAAAAATTTATCCATATGAAATTATATATTTCAGTTTGCAAGATTTGCTGTCACTTCCAAGAAGTATCTTTTTAAGTTTGTTTTCTAAAATTTTTGTTTTGGTAAACATTTTACAGTTCAGCTTTAATTGTGAAATGAAAATAAGCGTCAACAATCTACATAATTTGTTTATTTAGCAGCATTTAATTGGAAAAAATCTTTTAAGTGTAGAGCAGAATTGTGTTTTATTACAGATATACGTAAATATATGAATACAAAATTCAAATTTCTAAAAATTATATTTAAACCCTAATGTAATACTTACGTTAAAGCCTGCCTGTAATCTTTGTAACAATAATATTCTTCTCCCATTTCTACAGCTACAATAAATAAAAATATTTATGAAATGAAAAGTTAACTAGACAAATAGCATTTTAAATGATGCCAGTTTGATAATGAAAGTTTTAACAATCTTACTTAACTGTCGTTTCATTCTAGGACACTTGTACTTCTTAAACTGAGCTACAGCACTGCTTAGAAGAGGTATAATTATCATCTGCAAGATTTTCAAAATGTCAAATGCTTATATATATATATATACACACACACACTGGTAAATACTGATTAGTTATGAATGTGTTTATAGAAACCATTTTCTCAAAATAAATAAAATCACAAGAATGCTGAAAGAAAATTCATTTTGTGCACATTATTTATGCTTAAAATGAAAATTACAATTTAATGTGCAATTTGTGCTTGTGGATCATTCTTTATTTGTGATCTGTACACTGCCATTAAATATTTCTATTAAAATACTGAGAACATAAATAAATAAAGAGATTGTACAGAACAGTTACAATCTTTATTATCGAATAGATTAATGAAACTAAAATTATTAGCAATAATATGATTAGAATATGGTCATTAAATGGATAAATTATATCTCTAATTGGAAAATAATGTTATCTCAAAGCTAATTAGAACTGCAATATGAGGTACATATGAGGGTTATGCACCCAGTAAGGAATGTCTTTGTAGAGAATCTTAAAAGGAAATGGATTTGTAGACATATTTCCCTAGGGAAAAACCATAAAAATCCCAAGTCATTCAATCTTAAACAAAACTCTTATCAACTCTTGAAGATCTTATTTACTTTGATGCTAGTACAATCTTGGCAAGCAGATCAATAATAAATGATCCAATATAACAAAAACTATCGGATTTTATAACATATCTATATTGTCATCTTTATTGAATATATAAGGTCTACCAGGCAGCACGTAGCCTGGCATTATCATGATGCCAGTATGATATGCTTCCTAATTAATATCACCCAGTTCTTTGACTGCTTTGTTTCAATTATCCATTTACTGAAAGTATCTTTCTGAATTGAGATTTTCATTAGCTTCAAAAGCTCATAATGTATTGGTCCTTGGATTTTCCACCATATACATAACATTCTCTTATTCAGGCTCAAACTCGGTTTAGAGGTGGTGCAGGCAGGTTGTCCGTGCTCACACTTTTCCTAACACTGTTTTCGTAGGTAATCCCCTTTTCATCACCAATTATCTCCAGTCCAAGAAGGATTCGTTTTTGTTTCAAACAAGCAGAAATATGAATATGATGACTTGATCATATAAATTTTTCTCACTTAAATTATGAGGCAAACATATGGATTATTTATAGATCAATCCTAGTTTCCAAATACAATCTGTAGTTTATTGAGCTGGGTTAATTTTTTCTGATATCTCCAGTGTTGTCAAAAAGGATTTTGCCCTATCATGATCTTGAAAATATTATCATTAATCAAAGACAGCTGCCCCCAGAATGGCTTATCATTAAGGTTGAAATCACTAGCTTCGAACTATTTTTTTATCATTATCATCTCCTGCATGTTCTATCCACCAAAAACTTTCAAATCTGTCTCTAAATTTTGACATGCTTCTATAGAATTTCTTGCTAGAATTCATAAAAATACAGTGTCGTAAATGAACTTTATTGGTAGCCATGTTTACACAATTAAGTATTACTTAATAATGACACAAGACCCTTCTGTTTCATATAATTTAGAAGATGACATGTGAAATGATAAAGAAACTACCATATAAGTCTTAAATGAATACATTCATGCATGTTGAAATTTGAAATGGTTACCAGGCAGAACTTTCCAGTAGATCTTACACAATAATAGAACACATACCTTAAAAAATAATTAAACAGAAATGAATTTCTAAGCTTTTAATAGTATTAAAACTTTAAAAAAATGTTCTAAAATCAATTACTATATAAATAAAGTAATACAAATATATGCAAAATCTATGAGACATTTACCATAAACATTAAGTTGTTTCATATTTATTAGATGAAAAAAAAAAATAAAACAAAAAAGCATCAGGGATTCCCAACCCTATACCCGCGGGCACCATGGCACCCATCGGTCATTTAATATGTGCCCGCCGCTGTGGGATTAGAATAAAAATGTTTCAGTTTTCAATAAAATTCTACTTGAAAGTTTTCTCATTTTTAATGAAATAGAAATTGCACCTAACACATATACCAGCACAAAGCGAAATGCGACCAATCTCTTTTTTAATGTGCATGTATTAACTCTATCCAACTATAAATCTATCTTGAAAAAGCATATGATGCCCGCTGTCCAACAGATATTCTAAAATGTGTTCTCAGGGGCAAAAAGGTTGGGGATCCCTGAATTACATTCTAATCAGAAAAATATATCCTCCGAGCAGCAATATACTAAATTCAATGTGTTTTCAATATAAGATACCATGAAGACTGAGGTTGACATCCTTGTTAAAGAAATTGCTAACATATGAACCTGGTTAGTGATGTTTACATCTCAAGAAGATGAAACATATAAAACTTCAAAGGACTCAAGTCCAAAGAATAAATATGCAGAGTGAAATAGGAAATTGTATCTGAAGCTATTTCCAACAGATGCATATGGCTACATCCATTTTGTAAGAGTATGATACCTTAATGATTGATGAGCAATGTTTGTTTGGTGCATAACTTTTGGTAACATTTATCCAACTAGTGGTAATACAAGTCATTTCTGACTATTTAGCTCTGCAACTAAAATTTATGCACCACAATCTTGGCAATCCATAATACAGGAATCATAACCCATACGTGCAAGTATGTTTCAAAATTTGTTTCAGAGGTTCACCCTCTATATTCAATGCTCCTGTTGGCATAGAGCATCCATTTTTTAACACACTGAGAAAATAATTATAAACGTTATATTCAAGGAGAGCAATGCATGCCTACAAATGCCTACTTATTGCTGTTTGACTAATTTGTGATGAACCCAGGTATCCAGGTATCAATTCAACAACCTACGCTTCAGTGACCATGGCAATTATTTCATACACATCACATCTAAATTTGAAATTGTACAAATGATTATCTTGTACCTTAAAGTACTTTGATCTATCTGAAATAAATAATCAAGTTTAAGAAGTGTTTATTAATCCCAACTATAATGCACCTGTAGAAATCTATCGCAGTGGTCAATAATTACAAAAACAACTAAATATGTAAACATAAAATATATAGGTCCCATTAATGTAACCACCTTTTACATTTGGCTTAAATGCTAAATAAATAATGATATAACACATGTGTCCGCAGTAAATTTGTTATGCATATAAAGTGCATTGTAGGCATTTGAGAAACATTTAAATTGTTGTTATCAATAAAAGGTGCAATTTATCAGACTTACACAAAGGATTTATTATTAGTTTGGGGGAAAAGGTGTGGTAGTATTTCAGAAACTGTGAAGTTTATGAATTGTTTGCATGCTTCTATGGTAAATGTGTACCATGAGTGGTAAAATAGAAATATGCAAAATATTAATTGTTAAAACTTGGGAACACAGATGAATGAAGTGAACAGCAGCTTGGTACATTCAAGTTGATCAACATGTTTAGTAGAGAAACTGACAGAACAAATGAACTTGGGGAAAGGGGTTACCAAAATTGAAGTCAAACGTTTAGCTCTAATGAAGAGAAAAAATATATTTTTATCAATAAAACATTTTCACAACATTTTGTTTCTTCAAAGAAACAAAATGTTGTGAAAATACAGCATAGAAATCTTTAAAACATTTGCTATACAGTGGCACTTAACATCTATTATAAACATTTATCATTTGACTACCACAGTATTTGCTTCTTTTGCTTTAATTTGTTGGATTTTTCTCAATAACGTGGTTTATCAGATCCTTTCTCATTTCGCTTGAAGGTAAATTCTGAAAGAAAGTACATGAAGATAAAGGCTTCAAAATTTTCAGAATATTTTTTCCTTGTTTTTAGTAATGCCAGTGTAACACTTCTTTGAAAATCTACCGGGGAAATTTTGAGGTCTACAGCAATCTTACAAAGTTTCCATGCAACTGATTTATCTACATCAATAAAATTTATAAAATCAGGCTCCCACCATTTTTTACTTTTACATGAACTCTATACACATCGCAATGAAATTGTCCAGAATGTCCAAGCCATCCAATAGTTGTTTTAATTTCCAGTGATCTAGATACAGATTTATTTTCTTGAGTACCTCTTGGTCACTGAAAGCAAAATAAATTAGAAGGTAGTTGTCATACCTATGATAGAACTGTCATTCCATAGAATTACTGCAATGTCATGCTCTTTATCAAATGCAGTCTCATATGTTGCATGGTCTTCTTTTCCCATTGTTTTATGCAGGTATAATAGGACAATTTCCTAATCTGTACTCAAGAACTGTTCCAGCCACATGAAATTTCAGCTCATTCAATTCCGACAACAACGTATGATGTAAAAAATTTGTCAAAATATACACACTGATTTGAAAGAATTTCCACCACACCACACAAAAATCTGTCGTAATATCTCCACCTAATCCAAGACCAGTCACTGTCTTTGAAGATTTTCCTCTATATCAACATGATAAAAGTATTCTTCATAGGAACACAAAACACTAAACTTCGTATTCAAAATGGATGAAACATTCTGCATGAATGTCCACTGAAGTATGGTATCATTTGTTTATCTATAGAAAGATACATTGAAAAAAGCCTTAGCCAGGTTTTTGGTTTTATTTAAGGCTATCAATTCAATTTTTGCTTGATGTTGGTATAGGCAGGAAGTGTCATTACTGAGCATACTAATGGATTCTTTGTCGAGAGGCATCACTACACGTATAGGACCAAGCAATTTTTTCTTTGGTTAGATGAATTTTTTTACCATTTTTTTTATGAACTCAATGCATTTTTATATTTTTTAGATGAAAAAAATATTGATCTCACCTGATACACCTTTTGGCATTGGCAAATTATCACCTAAGACATAATTATCAAAGCATTCCTTATCCATCACAATGTATGGATCTAGGGAAAACGCTAATAATCTATTTCAACCTCAACCATCATCATCTGATGAAAGTTCTAAAACATTACAATCATTTAACTCCTTCATAAATTATAATGCTTCATTCAAAGTTAAAAACATTGTCTTGGATATTCATTACTTTGGAACAGCTGTTTTGTGGAATCTATAAAAGGAAATACCACTTTCTATGAAAATCTGTGTAAATTCGCAAAGACTGCTTCAAGCATACACTACATTTTCACAGCATTTAAATAAATGCATAGCAACAAAGACAAAATAATAACTTCATCTTTTGACACCATTAAATAGTCTAATGTTTGTAGAAGACTGAAATGTCTTCATAAAATTATTTGATTGGTGGTGCCTTCATAAAATTATTTGATTGGTTTCTATGAGACCAACTCAAAATTAAAAGGAAAAAACTTTTCAAAAAAAGTAAACAAATTATAATTAATTTTCATAAATATTTTTAATGTGAGAGAAACATTAAAGTTTTATCTATAATAATATATAAGTTAAAAAAACACTATGCAGAAGACGAAAAAGTGTTGACTTATGTTGCAAAAATGCAACGTCACTCATTAATGGGTTAACCATTTCTGGATTAACACAAGCTGGTGGTGGCAAATTTAAAATTTGGGAAAGTTTTCATGGCATTTTTTGAGTTTGCTGACATTATGGATCTCATTAAGAATAAATCAAATTTTGCAAACCATGCAATTTTTTTCCTCTTTGGAATGACAGAATCTTCTGTGATGTGTCATGTCATTAAGAATGCATGTGGCCAGTTGTATGAGAGAAAAGTTTTATTGTGCTGCATAAGGAAAATTTTACTGTACTTCCTTGGCTCCTAAATTCCCGATTAAAACCCAAACAACCCAATCAAGAAATTATAAAAGCACCTAGATTGGCTGTTTGCTGTATGGGTCCTACATTTCATACCCTCCAGCAACTGCATAACAATCAGCCTGATTCCATCTCCCTGTGAACACTTTCCAGCACCATTCTGAGTCTCTCCAAGCCCACCCAGCTGCTATTCATTTTGCACAGGATGGTTATTCCAGACAGTAGCAGCTGGTCGCATTAATGTAATTAGAGCGTGTGTGTGTGTATGTGTATAACATAAATGTATGCTACAAAAGGAAATGCATAAAAACCACAGCAAATAGAATTCTTAGATAAGATTATGCAAAAGAATGCATAAAACCCCAAAATATTAAAATGAGACTAAAAAAGTTCAAAGATTGTTATGATTAAATAAATACACTTTAAGCAACTAAATGATTAAATTTATAAGGTCAATAATTTAGTATAAATTATTTATCAGTCATTACTTTCACGCTTACATTTTATTCAAGTTTAAGACATCTATCAGTGATGAAATATATTTGATCATTTCAGAAATCAGAAAGAATATTTTAAAAGCTTGTGCAATTATTAGGAATGGCAAATTACTATCAAATGTAAGATTAAATAAATGACAACATAAAATATTAAAATATAATTATGATACAGAAATTAAACATACAGAATGGTCTACTTCATGGTATTCCTTATACTTCAAAGCTAAGATTCCTTGCATTTCTTTTTGGGGATCAGGTGGTTCCAAACCTGAACAAAAAAAAAGGGGGGGCATCAAAATGCTTCTGAGGGAATTTATATGCATTCATACAAGACAACAAGAAACCAATTGAGATAACAAGAAAGAACATCTAACAACAAGAAACAATTCGAGAAAATATAGGTAGAAGTTAGGCCAATATATCTATTGTACATAAGCGATTGAGGTATTGCTTTACTTAGCTAACTTGTTAAGATTCTGCTCCAATTTTGAATTTCTAAAAGAGAACATTTGGGGGCTGCAGTTCAAAGGTATCCAACCCCGCTTCCCTTACCACGAACATTTCATCCAGATTTCAGCTCATCATGTATCTTGAGTGTCCCTTGCCACAGAGAACACTATATACTCAAAAACATCCATGCCTTCTCTGGGATTTGAACGCAGGCCCTTCAGTTATGGCACTATCCCATCTAAGCAGCAGTGAGAAGTTACTTCAGCAGCTCACAAGGGAAGTGCCACCAGTCCTTAGTCTCACCAATTTTGCCCAAATTCTGCATAATTTTATATGGCCTTAAAATAAATATTGTTACAAAATGCCCAACTGCCGTAAGATAGCTTCCCCGCAAAGCAGGTTTACGGTTGCCAGAAAATGGCAAGGGAAGGCATGGTTGCCATGTTTGGCAAGAAATTGCCCATTTGGGGATATGACATAGACAGCTGGAGAACCTTCTAGAACAAATCCCTACCGGTTTGGACATGCAAAACGCAAGCCAAAAGCTATAGAAACCCTGCTGGTACGTGGAGTTAATACACGGACAGTAAGCGAATACGCAGTCTTAGTGTTGAGTTGGTCGTCGAGTGCATCAAGAGAGTCTCTTATTGTATCGTGAGTTAGTGCATCGTTGAGTTTTATCTCAGAGTGTGTTGAGCTTCAAGAACAACTGAACCGAGTCGGGAGCTGTACTCTAGTGTATCGTCGAGTGCATCATGAGTTGTAGCATGAAGAGTCTCGAGAGTAAGTAGAAATCTGAGAATGACCAAGGAGAGTCGGGAGCTGTTTTCTGGTATTTGCCATGAAGCTGTCTTCACTATTATAGTCTGAAGGCTCTGATTGTGTCAATGTGCTTGTCGTAGTTCTTCAACAACTGTAAATGTGCTTTTGAAGCTGTCTTGAATAATACTGGCTAATAAATTGTGTTTTCATTCTTCATCAAATGTCATCATTATTGACTCAAAATCCACGAACCCATATGTAGGAAGAAAGACAAGACAGTGTATATATATGAAGAGGTTATGCATTTTACAAAACTATGTGATAAAACTGATATTAAATAGTCTTGCATTATTTTTAAATCTCTTTTCCCTCCAAGCCCAAAGGGGTGTTAGCCAAGAAGGGTTATTGGTTTAAAAACAGCATTTTGTGTTGAATTGCTATAAACGGCTGTATCACTTTTCAAATTGTTGCCACCAAATATTAATATTATTATTTAAAGAAATTATATAACAAAGAATCTGTGTGAATGTATGTATGTTTACTGCATGGTAAAAAAACAACTATACCTAGAGCCATCAAAATATCAACAATGTAGTTCTCCACCCAAATATGGGCACCTGGAAGCCTGAATTTTGAATTTGTTTTATTACCTGTTTCATATTTTTTAAACTTTAAGGAATTTTTGATTAAGACTTAATGATTTCAAAGCTAGCAATGGCAACACATTGTTCGAAAAAAAAATCTTTTATCTCTAACACATGAAACTGTTTGTTGGAAATTCCAAAGATATGCTATTTTTAAATATTTTGAGCTCAAATGCTCCCTAAAAGTATATGGATGTGTAAATGATAAAAAAAAGTCCCTTTGGGCGTAATATAAAATCTGAAAACTTTCAAATTTCAAATATATGTGTACTTCCCCCCCCTTGAAATAAACACCAATAATTTTCTAGCAAACATACAGCACTATTATTCAGATGTTCCAGTGTTATAGAGCTGCTGCCATCATTCTCTTCTTTCTTCATTCAGTGCTCTTATGTATTTTTTGTAATGCTACTTTATTTGAAAGACAATCTATGAAAATTAGGAAAAATAAAGGAAATAATATAAAAAAGTCAAAATTGCAAAAATTTCATACAAGAAGCAATTTTTCATTTATTTCATATCGTACTTTCTGATAAATTTATTATGACTGATAGATGATATTCACTATAAAAACATTCAAAATTTAAAATACAGTCACTGGGTATATTGATTACATGATTGTTTACCATAATTCAAGCATTTTTCAAACTAATATTTCTTAAAACGTTTAAGGGAAAAAAGCACTTCTGCTAACCTTCATAAAAATTTTTTTTCTATATATCATTTGCAGTGCCACATTTTCTTCCAGAATATATATATGTTTCATAAATGCAAATTTATGTAAAAAAATTTGAATTGTGATGAACTATCATTAATTCAATGTATTGCTAAATATGTTTTCACGTTTTAAAAATAAATAGCAATTTCAGTTGTAAATAAATAGTGGAACGCATAAGTTAGAACAACTTAAGTGAGAAATTGCTTTCAGAACAAAATTTTTTAACACTGGTACATAAATTTTAACATTGTTTTCTTCAATACACTTCTACAGTTCTTATCTTCCAGTTCAAAGTTTTGGGAGAATTCTCATGTTTAAAAGGAAGTAAATTTGATTTCAAAAAATGTTTTCTAAAAGCAGTTAAAAATAAATACTAGCTACAAAAAGATACAAACTGAGAATTCCTAATTAGCAGTTTTATATGTTAAATAGGAAAACATTAGTGTTTGCTATAAAAGGAAAAATATAAATAATATGACTTAAAGCTTTAATCTCAACCTTCTCATTTAATTTTGAGAGATAAAAGCTCTCCTTTCATAGACATATTCTTTTAGGTCATCTATCATTATGCAAACTTTGCATGAAATCAGACAGATTGAAGTCATGTACTTCCTTTGTTAGTAGTGAAGCATAAACAAACTATTTAATTAAAGCACCTCTGTGAAAATTAACAGTACTTTCTGATTTGCCAGCTACCTCCCCCTCCCAGTTCAAAGTTTTAGGAGAATTCTCATGTTTAAAAGGAAGTATTGTAATCGTGAAAAACTTCAGGCATCATATTTCAATGAAAATAAATTCTGACTGCTATCGATTCTGACTATTCTGATTATGCTATTCTGATTCTGACTGCTATCGAATGCAATTTAACGATATTTTTGCGCGGCATCCATACATAAGGACAGAATAAAGGACTCTTTTCGCCCATAAAAATTATAAAACTGATTTAAAATTAATTCTGAAGAGAAATTTTTGTGGCATTTGTGCGTATGTACGTACGTATCTTGCATAACTCAGAAACGAGTAACCTCATAATGTTGAAATTTTGAATGTAGGATTCCTATAACATGTAGATATGCACCTCGTATTTTGGTTGAATTCAGCCACACCAAAAGTATGTAAATATATGTATATATATATATATATATCCACTCTGTTACTTGGCTCAGTAATCTCGGTTTCTTTACTCTTATATGTTTCTAAATTGTGCATTTTTTGCTTTAAAATGATTGAATTAGGTTGTTCTTATCTTCCGGTTAAGGTTTTTATGCCTTTAATAAATCTGTATGCAATATTTTAAGAATTATCAACAATTTAGAAGTTGTTTAAGTGCCGCTAAGCCTAATTATTTTTGCTATGCCGGCCATGTTTGTTTACATTTGAAGCAGCAGAATAGTAGATTGCTGCCAATCTAATGAAAGTAAGCTTTGCAATAACGAAGATAACGCCCTTTTTTATTACTGTGAATTAAATCAAGCTTAATCCATTCAGAAATTTATTCGAGGAAATAAATGTTTAAGATTTACTTCATAATTTTCAATACAGATATTTTGAGTTTTATGTATTTTTGCCTTGTCGCGAAGTGAAAACTGAATTAATTAAATGAGAAATACTGAATCGTCTGTGAAAAACTAGTTTTTTTTTTTTTTTGTTGTTGTTTACTTAATTTCTTATACATCATTTTAGATTTATTATAGTATTTGAATATAACATGTGGCAATGATTAGATAATTCTTAATATGATATAGACTTTGTGCATTCTGAATTAAAAAAATGAATGAAATGTAATGCTTTTAAATGAACCTAGGGCCAGAGTGTCGCTATGGTAAACAAATATAGTGTATTTTAAAGAGTACCTTTATTCTGTCGTGGTTTATGCACAACAGAATAAAGGTACTCTTTAAAATTTCTTTTCGACGAAGTAAATTGAATTCAATCCAATGTTTTAATGAAATGCAAGAAAAAATGCATATAATTTAATATTCCATACATGGAAGTCATGAGGTGTACACATCAGATTTTTTAGTATACACGACAACAGCCAACCTTTGCATGAACATTAGCATTCATATGTTTAAATACACATAAATTTTTATGTTTTATATTTAACTATCGTTTTACTGAACATTATCTAATTTCAGTAAATTAGTGCCGTTATAAATGTACATACTTCTGTTGTCAATTTTGAAAACTCATAATTGCCTGATAAGTTTTTTTTATTTTTTTTATCACTCTATTCTCATTAATTCCTAAAGCATACTAGGTGAGAAGATGTAGCTTTGTGAATGGATCTCTAGTTACTAATATAGTCTGGTATTTAAGACTCTGAAAATTTGTTATAAAATACTTCTTTTTATTACTCTTTATAAACAGAACAATACCTATGAGTCGTAAAGTTAATTAAACAAATGTTTATGTCAATTCACCAGGTTTGTACACATTTCTCCAGAGGGAAATTAAATATTTTTAAGGAATTTTACAGATCATTAATGAAAAAAATTAAGGACTTTTCAGTAAATAGGAACTGAATAAATTCAGTTAAAGAAACAGATCTATAATTAAGACACAATAACATGCCGAATAAATACTAATTCAGAAGAGTATTCTGAAACAGATCTATGTTCAGATCTATGCCTGAACTTTACTTTTGTAACACCATCTCAAGAATAAAATAGATCCAAAAGTAGGATGCATTATTATTAAACATACGAGTGTTTTCTTTTTTTTCAACCTCCAATCGCACAATATGATGGCCAGGCAAGCGGCAGGTGGTTGGTGTGTGTAGTAGGCGACTGTGCATCTCCCCCTCCACATGCTCTGTCACTGGCGAGTTCAACATGCCATTTCCTGTTGAGTTGCAGTCATGTAAACATGGCTGTCACTGTTGATTCCCTTGCTAAGTGTGAATTGCTAGCTGTTATTCGTTCTTGCAGGCAGAAGGGAACAGTGCAGCAGAAAGTCATCAAAGAATGAGTCGAGTGTATGGAGACATCTTTATGAGTGATGCCGTCGTTCGAATTTGGTGTCGAAAGTTTAAAGGTTACTGAACTGATGTGCATGATGAAGTCAAGGATGCAAGCCTGTACTACAGATGACATTGTTCAACAAGTTGACCATGCGGTTAAGGAAAATTGAAATTTCACCATAGGTGAATTATAGATGAAATTTTCAGAAGTTTCAAGATCTTCCCTGCACTCTATCATTAGTGAACAGTTGCACTACCAAAAAGTTTGCACTCGCTGGGTCCCACAGATGTTGACTGACGATCACAAAATTCGCCACATGTCTGCAGCAATGGAGTTTCTTGTCCATTACAATACTGATGGAGAAGATTTCTTGGTAGTTTTCGGTTTTGCCGGTGCATGCGTTAAAGTCGCCAATAATGGTGCAACTGATGCTAAACGGAATATCCTCGATGGTAACCTTTAATGCTTCATATTTTCAAAACAAGTCTCAGCCATTTGTTATCAGATTGATTGTTTCTTTCAATACTGGAATACAATTACATAGAATTTTTACCAGATACGTAAGTTTAGTTAAGTTTTATGTCCTAAGGCCATCCACGTTAATCAAGTCAATTAGGATGCAATCACACCGCTTACCCGAAGCCGAAAATATAGAATAGGCAAAGTCAAGGGTTAACTTCATCCATTCTAATGAGAATGCACTAGCGAAGTAAAGCACTGCAGTTTTACATAATTTCGGAGTAAGCTATTCGTACGAACTGAAATAATTCTTGCATTTAAACTTATGTTCCGAATTAAGATTTCCTTGAAATTAATGTACATAATTACTGACAGAATTAGATTTTTGTAACATAGTTTACATGAGATGAGATCACTTGGAGTCACATTATATGAACCGGCGAATTGGCATGTTGAATCATGTTCATAGTAAATTTTTAACTTAATGTCTTTTCACAGTTTTATTGTCTTTATTTATTGACTTTTTTACAAAATTTTAAACGATATTAAAATGCTTATGCCTTCAAAATAAAAAAATTCTTAGAACTAACATTTTTGTATATACTGTATGTTGTCGCCAATAAAGTCTGCTTGGCGAGATTTGCGCCGGCGAAACGGAAAAGTACCGATTTTTTTAAATCCATTGTGACAAGTGATGAGACATGGATTCAATATGGCATGCCCAAAAAAGAAACGTCAATCACAATAATGGATGCAAACAAATTCTCCAAAGAGACTCACAAAATTCAAACAAACCTTCAACAACCTTAAGGTTATGGCAAGTGTTTTTTTGGACCAAAAGGTGGCAACTGTTTTTTGGGACCAAAAAGGTGCGTTTCTTGTGGAGTTTATGCAGCATAGAACAACAATTAATGCAGATTCATATTGTGAAACTTTGTGATGCTTATGGACAACAGTCAAAACAAACGAAGAGGCATGCTGACTTCTGAAATTGTTCTGATCCACGACAATGCCCATCCTCACAGCACTCATGTAACTCAGCGGCTCCTTCAGCAATTTCAATGGGACATTTTCGAACACCCACCATATAATCTTGACCTAGCCCTGAGTGACTTTCATCTCTTCCCTGAACTGAAGCAGTGGCTTGGGGGCAGAACTTCCAAAATGACTTGGAGCTAAAAGAAACCATCACAACTCACTTCCAATCATTGGCAGAAACATTTTATGAAGAGGGTATTGCAAAGCATGTTCACAGATATGGCAAATGCCTCAATCGTCAAGGTGATTATGCAAAGAAACAACCTGTATTATACATTACGTTTGGTAATAAAATCTTTTTTGTATATTTACCTGTCTTTTCTTTATATCCCATTGGAGGTTGAAAAAAAATAATCTATGTAATTTAAGGGGTGTTGGAACCCCCAAAATCTTTAAAAAATTGTGATTTCGGATTTTTGCATTTTCAAATTTTCTACACTTTTATCTTTCTAAAAATACCATTCTTTAATCTCTATGAAAATTAGAACTGTAAAAAAATCTAGTTTTAATTTGTCATCTGCTGCTTTGATCAATGAGGATTTTTACATAAAAACGCGTTTTTCTCCCAACATGATTTTTTTATACTCGATGTACCTTTTCTCAGGAACTACTGCTCACAGGTATCTAAACTTTTTATGGCTTATTTATTAGGTTCTCTAATATTTACTGAGATGAGCTTTTTGTAATAAACTTAGAAAAAAAAAATTGTAATTTTTTTGTGTGAGAAAAGTGTTAAATTTTACTATGCCTAACAAAATATTCTGTAATTTACTCTAAAATTCAAAATGTTTCAAAAGCTCATTTCAGTATAATCAGATAGGTATACTTTAATTACAGAAAAAATTTCAAGCTTGTATCTACAGCAGATTTTGAGAAAAGGTACATCGATAATGGCCAATTTAGCATTGTCGGTATACGGGTTTCTGATATCCCTTAATAAACATAATTATAAAACAAATTTTAAAATAAAATCAATGTTATAAAATTTATCAAGTGGCACTAAATTTTTACAAGTATAACAGTTCAACATACTTGAAAGAAGATAAGTGACATTTTATTTACATTGTACTAGCAGTTAGCTTTAAGCTGATTTTTGCTTATATGTCTCATTTTATATGATTTTTGCTTATATGTTTCATCCCGTATTTGCTCAGGCCAGAGGCTTAGCAAATAGAAAGCAGATTTTATGTCAAACAGCATGTGTTAAAATAAAATCATAATCAGCATAATCTGTGAATTTATTTAAACATTATTTTGCACATTTTTAACTTACTCTGACAACAAGCTCGCCAGGGCCTCTGACCATAAAATTCTAATGAATCAGCTCCTTCCAATACTTCAAAATCTGGAGGTTTTTCAACAGACTAAATAAAGGAGAAAATATTTTTTTAATTATCTTAACACAGCTTCAATGAAATGTTTAAAATTAATAAATACTATAATATTTAATTATAAGTACATACTTTGCACAATTTATAGCATAACATTTTACGATTAGAAGCATGGTTTGCCGCCTGCTGATAATAAAAGCCTGGATGTTGAGTTTGAATTGCGTTTAATCCTTGTTGCACAGCATCCTCAAACAGATCTCCAAAATGACTAAATCTATAAATTTAAAACATAACATCAAATCTAAATATAAATGATGAATAATGAAACTTATAGAAACTGCACAATAAATCCACAATTACTGTTTTGACATCCAAGCACTATGTTCGAATGCTAATTCTGGGTGCCCAACTTTGTTCTTGAATATATCTACATGGTTTCGAAATTGTGCTATAGCATCTAAAGGGGCTCCATTAAGAAATGATAAGCGGCACATCTATAATAAATATAAGATGTTTAAAATATGATGCTTTAAAAACCTTCTAATTTGAAAATAAAAATGCAATTTAAATAAACAGCTTTCAATCAAAAGATTAGAGACTTTTATTTTCTAACAGCATTTTAAACTTAACACATTAATTCTAAATACATTGCTTACAAAATGATATTTTTTTATTATAATAAGAAACAGTCTTCTAAAACATAAATACTATTTTTCATTTACAACAGATCATATAAATTATAAATATAATGCAATCAAAATACAGAATTTAACAGATGATACAAGTTCACCGTAATATTCAGATGTATAATTGTTCTTTTAATTAAAAACAATTAGAGTTGTGGTAATATGGAATCGATTACAAATAACCTATGAATATGGAATACAAATCTTCTGATCTTTATAACACAGAAATACAAATGATACAAATGATCTGATTTGAATGGAAATACAAATAATCTCTGAATTCAACAGCAATTATAATATTTCAGTACATAATTTCTTTATTAATACCTTATAATTTATAAATCCTGCGATAGTCTTAATTTCCAACATATTGGCATCAGAAGCTCTTACTTCCATTAAATTTGCATAAGCTTGCTTGTAATTTCTAAAAGATAACTTTTGTCAAAAATACAAAGTTTTATTATATAAAAATATTTTTAAAAATTTATTCATGTAATTTTTTTAATACTTACTTTAAAGCTGTATTGATATCTTGTTTCAGCTCAGTAAGGAAGGCTATCTTAAACTGATGTCTCACAAAAAGTAGCTTAAAATAAGTAAATAAAACATAATTTAGAAAAATGAATAATTAAACACATTAGTTTGCATTTATATCAAAACAAATGATATGTTAAGTATATAATATGTATAGAAGTATACACATACAAGAAATGTAATATAGAAAATTTCTACCTTCAAAATTAATCAATCATCTTTCCTTCAATAATAGTCTTAAGTCTTAAAAGTTATGATTTTCCAAAGAAAACAAAAAATATTAAAATATTACTAGATAAACTAATAAATATTAATTTAGTGAATTTTGTTAAAAATACAGTGGAATGAAAAATAAACTTGAATAAAAAGAATTTAAACCATGCGAAAGGTAATGATGCTCAGATCTAGTAACATGATCCATTTTAATCCTTAACTAATTTTGAAATTTTCACCAAGCATTTTTATTATTTAAATTTACGTACAACTCCAAAACGTTTTAATAATGTTCTATTTTTAAAAATAAGTCTAAAAAATAATTACTTTCAGACAGTGTGTGAATTTTTATAGGTTATAATTCAAAGTATTTTACAATATATTCATAAAAATTACTTTACAACATATTCATAAAAATTACTTAATTTTTTAAAATATATTAGAGAATATGGAGCCTTATTTGGATTCAGAATATTCAGGATATGGTCTTCAGAAGAAAGCAAAGAAATTTAACTAGAAAGTGATATTGTATATAAGCCAGAATTCAATTAACATTACCAACCTAAAATTTTAAGTGCTGATTTAAAAACTGCCAGGACAATTTTTATAAAACTTGGCACACTGGTATAATTTGAGTCACAGAATAGAACAATGCAAAAAGATCAGCAGATCTTTTGCAGAAAGTTTGATTCGATATCAAAATACATATGTTAGAACAATGCTATGTATAAAAATTATAAACTGCACTTTTGAAACATGATAAATGCAATCTGAATGTTGTCGATCAACCAGTTGTGCAATAAAACTTAATAAATCATTTTTTATTTTGGATTTCTCCCCCCCCATAGACAAAATTTAATAAGATATCACTTTTACAGTTGTAAAGTGAACAAGAAAACAAATACATACATTTAAACTACAAAAGAAAAAGTCTGATGTGGACATCACATGACTTCCTTGTACAGAATATTTAATTATGTGCGTTTCATTTAAACTTATTTCATTAGATATATTTCTCATTCAATTAATTCAGTTCTCACTTTGTGGCACGGCAAAATACATAAAATCTCAAAATATCTTTATTAAAAATTGAAAAATATAAAACACCAAAAACAGTTAAAACAAATAATTTTTTTTTCAATTAAAATTAAGTTTCTACACAAAAACAAGTAACGGCCAATGGGCAAGAAGGCAGATTTTTCAGTGTACAAAACTGAAAGTTTGCTTTTGGTCCCACTCGGCAAAAAGATACTGAAGGCACAGAAACTGAATTCACTATTCTGCCAAGTTTCAAATGTAAACAATAATGGCTACTTATGGTAAAAAAAAGGGGGGGCTTAGCTGCACTTAAACAACTTTTAAATTGTTGATAATTCTACAAATTTTGCATGCAGATTAACTAAAAGCATAAAAACCTTAACCAGAAGAAAAGAACAACATAATTCAATCATTTTTAAAGCAAAAAATGCACAATTCACCCACATATAAGAATTTTAAAAAATTGAGCTCACGGAGCCAAGTAACAGAGTATATATATATACACCCCACTCTGTTTGACTGTATACAGTCAAAAGTATTTAATCCGAATGTCCATAATCTGGAATGATCTATAATCAGGACCTCAAAGCTACAAACTTTCTGCGCATGTGTAAATGCATAATGCGTTTACACCTGCGCATATGCATTTACGCATACGCATAATACCTTTACGCATGCGCATTTAATGTATAACGGACAGTATAAGCTAAGCTAAAATTATCTAATTATCTATTTCAGTTAATGTTGCAGATTGCGTTGTTCCTTAATCTTCTGATTGGATCCGGCTTATTATTTTTTGCAGACTGTTAGAGCAATTTCATAAAAGTAAGCTTGAACTTTCGATTATGTCAAAAAGAATTTCCAATTCAGGAGCTGCCAAAGGATCTACAACGCAAAAGCATGTGTCGATGTCCATCAAAGAAAAAGTGGAATTGCTGCAAAAAAAGGATAAAGGCATATCCTTTGTTTTTGTAACCATTCCGAAATCTGTTTATCAATTTCACGCTGCTCTACCGGGGGGGGGGGGACATCGTGGCGCACAGTGAACTGGAAGATGATCTGTCAGCATTATCCTTATCTTTAGGGCAGATGTTTTTATTTTATTCAGCTTATAATTCCTTACTAAATGTAGCGTTTCATCTCAATGTATTCAGTCTTTGATATGATTTAAATCGAATTCCTCGTCACTATAAATATCATGAATACACATCAAATAGTTTTCTGGTTGCAATTTTCTAATTTCGACTATGCATAATGTATGCTTTACGCATGCGCGATTTGAAAGAAATGTTTAATACAGTAAACAAATAAATATTAAGCTTTTTTTTTTTTTTTTTTAATTTTAATACCTTTTAGACCATAACTGCTCTTTATTTCATAAATTACGGTTTCATATTTTGAATTTTATAATTTCTGCATGCCATCTTACCAGATTTAAATTGATGATCTATAATCCGGAAAAACTGATAATCCGGAATCGCCGAAGTCCCGACGAGTCTGGATTAAAGACTTTTGACTGTACATATTTTTTGGTGCAGCCAATTGCAACTAAAAAGAGAGGTGCACAAAAAATCTCTTATGAATTTATTTTAAATCCTTTTTGCAACCTGATTTGGGGAAAAGGGTCCTTTATTCTATCTCTATGTACAGATGTCGTGCAAAAACATTGTTAAATTGGATTTGATATTGGTCAAAATGGATATTTTCATTGAAATGTGAAAACCTAAAATTTTCACGATTACAATACTTTCTTTACTCTGTACAAGGAAGTAAAAAAAGGTGAACAAAAAGATTCATTTACACATTTATTATCATGTCATGACTGATTTGGTTACAGTAAAACTTTGTTCATTTATTTCAGCTTACATATCCAATATTGATGGAATTTTGGTAAAAATATAAAATTGTAAAAAATAGATATTAATATGTTAAAAATATATTCACTTCATACAAAGAATGTCAGATTTCTAGTTCTGATAACAAAAATTTCATTACCTGGTGAGTGGTTTTATTCAAGTGATCTCTGTGATTTTTAATGCGCCGGCTTTCATGATGAAAATAAGTTTGGGCCAATTCATAGAAGGCATTCTGCAAACTAAAAAGCAATATTTTTTAAGATTTGGATTAAATTTCAAAGGTCAAATTCTTACCAAGGAAAGAAAATGCAAAGAACAGAGAATACCGCAAAGTATAACCATATAAGTGGTCAGAGTGTGGCAGTACAAATAATGTTTTCCCAGACAAATCACAAGCACTGCATAAAGATGCTGCTCTTTCAGCTGCAATCTGATCATCAGCTGCAATTTGAAAAATAATTAATTAGTTAACTTTATATTTCCCATTATAAATTAACATAACATAAGCATATTTTGTATCATTTTCTTTAAAAATCATAATTATTAGTTCCAATTTTGGAACAGCGTTTGTTTTGACTTCATTGTTATGCCTCTCCTTATTTATAACTTTACAGAGTAGACTGAGTAATTGAGTTTGGATTTAAAAAACAGTTTGAAATGGTACGTACTGCATATAGCTGATCTTTATAAATGGGCTGTTTCATCAACCAACTATAAACTGAATGCAGATATAGCAACCATCACAACTTTGAAACACAGTATTTTTTAATTAATTGAAAATAAATTATGGATTTCAAGTCCCAGATCGCTACAAAATGATATATAATATCATGATTTTAGCACAGAGGAAGATATAGGTTAGTTACTAATAAACAACCTTTAGTAATTAAACTTTAAACTAAATTTATACTAAAATTCAATTCAAGAAATTAAGATAAATAAATGCATTTACTATGATACAAAAATAATTAACCAGTAACTAATACATGGGTAGAAATGAGAGTGGAAAAAATTTAGTATGCAATTTGTGTCGAACAGGGATTCTTGGAAAATTTTCCAAATCATCTACATTCATGTTGCTATTAACTTGCTAGAACAATAAGATGAATGAATTTACTACAATAATAGCTTGTATTACATAATACATGAGGCTTTACAGAAGTCCTTAAATTCATTTTCTTCATACAAAGTCATTTCATTAAAAAGTAAGTCTATCAAAATGAATTTACAGAATTATCTTAAATTTCAGAAAGGTTTGAATGACTCAAAGAGTAACTAAAAATGTCAAAATTTTTAAACATGACTGAAAGTTCAAACTTGTAAAGTTTATCTGATTTTCAGCAGGATCTTGAAAATATTGTTATTTCTTTTGTTAACTTGGGGGAACGGAGAGTAAAATAAAACATTTCCTGTGAATTTACAGTAATCTTCAAACACAAAACTCAATATCTTGCAAATTTAAACATTTAGCAATGCTGGTCAAAATCAAATGCTTAAATTTTTTATAAATTTCTAAAAAGACATTTTTGCCTCTACTATTATAATTTTTATTCCTACATTTTTTTAGAAAAGCCTTAGATACAATGAACTAAAAGAAGTCACTACTATCTTTCAGATATATAACTTCAAGTACATTCATACCTTACAGATTTTGAGATAAAGCTAAAACTCATAATTAATAACAATTAAATCACAAAACTGTCTTTTAGTTTAGAGCCCGCCAAATATTTCATTCAAATTTTATAAAAATTATAGTAGTTTAATGCACTTCCCATTATTAAAACTTACTTATTATGGTCATTGCAGCTGAGGACACAGCTGATAAATTTCAAGAAAATTTGCCGATTTAACTATACATACAGATCAAATACACTGACCTACACACCGCATTATAATGGATTATCATATTAACTGTAAGAAAATGAATCCAACACAAAAAACTTATAAATATATATGCCTATATGTAATTATCTTCAAATTCCTTCAGCTATATCATACACCTGTAATTAATAACTTCAGCAGTCATTAAATTATGTTTGTTGCTAATGTTTCTTCATTACACTATAATGAATATAAAAAAATCTCTTAAAGGAAATTTTCTTTAAACGCCATACCCTTTCATATGTTGAGCCAAAAGATTAGATATACAATATAATTCAAAATTATCAAAATATTCATTTCTTTCACATAATTTCAACTGACTGACATAGTCTGAGAAAACTAATTTCTCATACTAATGCAAGTTTATTATACTCCAATTTTAAAACAACTGGAACTTTACTGCTTTTCACCTATGACTGCAATGCATGAAGATATATTGTAAAAAAAACTAAATTCAGTAAAATTATAAACACAAAATTTTTAAAAAATCTGAAAGCTTTCAAATTTTATATTATGCCCAAATGGGCGTTTTTGTTCATTTACATACACATACATATTTTGAGAGCATTTGGGCTAATGCCACACTGGGCTAAAAATATTTAAAAACACCACATCGCTAGAATTTCCGATAAAAAGTCTCACCTGCTGGACATAAAAATGTTTTATTCCCTACAGTGTTGCCAATGCTGTCTTTGAAAATGTTGAGTTTTTAAATAAAAAAAGTTTTACAAAATATGAAATACATAATAAAACAAATTCCAAATTCAGGTTTCCAGGTGCCGATGTTAAGGTGGAGGACTACGTTATTCACAATTTGATGACTCTAGGTACCATTGTTTTTTCACAAAAAGAGAAAAATACACACATTCATGTAGATTCTTCATTATTTAGTTTCTTTAAATATAATGCAGGGCGGTAACGTTTGGTGGAAAAAAAGTTGAGAAGTGATACAGCCGTTTATAGTGATTCAATGCGAAATGCTGTTTCGAGACTTACAGCCTTTCTGGGCTAAAAATAGCATAGAAATCATACAATAACAAACATATACATGTAAAACTCATTTTACTACATTTTGCAGATACAGTGGTACCTCAGATATGCCACTTATTTGTTCCTGATCCTTGGACTTATACCAGATTAGACATATACCAAACAAACTTTTCGATAAGAAATAAGGACAAAATAATTATCTGTTCATATAAAAAATCCTATTTTTACAATAAAAAGATCATTTAATGCTTAACTATAAATACATTGGGTGAAATATGTACTATGAAAGTAATATTGGGTATATACTATAATATTGGGTGAATACTATAAATATTGGGTGAAATATGTATGAAAATTTACCAAATTTATTTATATTGTTTCTGCGTCAGATTCTTACCTGAGGAACACTCAGTCTTACTCCCTGGTTGAGAATCACTGTCTTATATTAGTTGATTTAATAGAGACTTTGTTTTTTACAATCACAGATACAACTATTCTAGACATGCAGTATGCAATAGTTAAGTCCCAAACAACACGCATGCCATCTTCCCACTTTAAACTCTTTTCTTACCTTTATGGTGATCATAATCATTTTCTTCATTTTTTGAGTCTTCTCATTAGCACGTGTATTTTTTTAAGAAAAAACTCAATGTTGATGAATTTTAGAAAAAAAAAAAAAAAAGTAGACACAAAATCACATGAAAACTCTAGAGTGATAACATGGACAGTAGCAACAGACATATTGACACCCATACTGTCTCATAAGCAGTCACAGCATTGTCTTGAAAGAAACAAACAAGGGCAGTACGTGCATTCGTGATTCACTGAACTCGAATATTATTTCAAGCAAATATTGTGCCCCAAACAAAATGTTTCGCATACAAATAGGATGTGAATCAAATTGGACTTATTTCAAAGTAGATGTATACCGAGGTACCACTGCATTGCATTTTACAACTGGAAATTTTTGGTAATCTTACAGCAAGCCAGTTAACTGCTGTTATTTTCCCAACCTATTTGCTCACTCCTTGTCTTATATTTTGCTATTATCACAATATTTTAAGTATCTTTGCTATCCTTATACTGAAATTAGGCATAATAACAATAATCATACTATGGCCTCTAAGCTTTTGGTGACTAAGTTTTCAAAACACTAATATTTAATTTTGTTTTCTTTTTAATACTCATTGATATATTTAATATAAGGTTATTCACTCTTATAATATTACAAGATTCTTAAAATATGTCAAGTTAATTCTTACAAGATTTCAAGAAAGAAGACTGTTAAATAGAACTAATATTATATTTAAATTAGGGTTACTTATAATCTTACAACTGCCTCTAAACAAATGTTCAAGTTAGAGGAATAATTGTACTATATTTATTTTAAATCAAATGTTTGAAATTGCTGATCTTAATTGCACCTAGAGATGAGAATTCACAAAGAAAATTAAAAATCTATTCTAATGAATATATAAATGATAAGGTGAAATATCCTTGATTATTTTAGATTATTACTGCTTATGTATGCACTGGAAGAAAAAAAAAAAAAAAAAAAAAAAAAAAAGAGTATTACTTGCTTTACTGCTGCGCCCGATATTAAGTAACATTTGATGAATTCCAAAAGTGTTATAGCCACAAATGTCAAAATACTTCTTAACAAAGAAATACTCGAAAAAGGGCAAAGTTATATTAATTATTAGTTTGACATTTACTAGAAAATGATCAGAATATTTTAAAGCAAATTAACATTTCCTTAAAACTAAGGAAAAACAATTCTTAAAATATATCATTAAAAAAAAGTTTTTAAAAAATAATTTACATATATAATGTTACACATACGCACAAATGTGTCATACTAACCACCAGGCAGAGCAGCTCTTTTCTGAATTAAAACAAGTGCTACTCGTGTGCTTCTACCTTGGAGAGATTCCCTGAAAATAATAATAATAATAAAGCGTACTTTAAGAAATTTTAAACTCAAACCTAGTTGCAATTAGATGGATTATGAATATAAAGTTAAACAGAAAAATTAAGCATAAATGTTAGTAGAATAGGGTTACTTTTTCAAGAATTTACACTGATTATGCAAATGTCTGATGATATTACCAAGAAGCAGATATTTTTATGTATTTTGTATATACAATATCCTAGCATTTGACCCAGTTAATATCAAATCGCTTATTCTCTTTTATTACATCAGACAAGATTCACTTAATCAGGTATATTACCTCTCTTACTTCATATCAGACAAAATTAATGCATTTCATAGAAATATTATTACTGGTACTTATTATTAGCATAACCACCTTCTTGCAATTTAGCATTTTTTTTAACAGAAGAAAAAAAAAAAAAAAAAAAAAATGGAGATTTATGATTCAAAAAATAATTTATTATGTATGCACATATTACTACATACATATTTTTAACTTAAAAAATTAGGTATTTTTGACTTTTTTTTTTTTTTTTGTACCATAAACTTACATCCAACTCCTAATAGACTTGGAGTGAATTATTGCTGCATCTGAAGTTAATGGCAGACACTTGAGAAGGTTGAAATAACCTTTTTTTATTAAATCAGAACTTTTACATGAATGCACATCTTGTGCTTAGGAAACCAACCACCACATGTGGTGATGAAACTTAAAGTCAAATCAAAATTTAAAACTAAGCCTAATAGTCAACAACTACACAATTTTAAATTCCAATTGGCTCAGAACTTCTCATGGCTGTAACAATTAAATGTCGGCAGCAATAATACAAAGCCAAAGAATTACAATTTTATGAGAAGTGGGAAAACCTAGTAATGTAGCCTCGAGGCAAAAACACATTTTGTCTTACAATCCAAAACACTTGACTTAAATACTCTCCAACTGATTTGCATTCTGGCGAGGAAACGGGAAGAAGTTAAGAGTAAAGATCTAAGTCATAACAACTGGTTAATTAAAATAATAATTTTATAAATCAATTAATAGAAAATTTTATAGTGATTGATTTAACAATAGATTCAGAACTAATGTTCTGTTAATGATTTTGAGGTTAAATACTCTATTCCTTTAGAAATTTTACACAGTTTAAGTGTGTGCAGAACTCTTTATTATAATTATTTGTCCACTGGAAAAAGAGAGGGCGCTACCAGTTTTCTCCCTCTTCTCCACTAAGGGAAAATTCGGACTGGTTACTCTGTTCCTGGCTGCCGTCGGTGAAGTACGTGCTCACCTCTCTTCTGCTTCGTGATGTCTTCGTAGCTGTCATATAACTTTCATAATTTTTTACCTACGTGGACTTGCTACCTATAAAAATGCTTATTATGCGAACAGTAATCAATGTGACTGTATATCAGTGAACGTGTAATGAAATACATATATTTTTCTAATGTTAAAATCCTCGAGCCAATCTATCATTGTTTTATCTGCTGCAACCTAAAAATGGCATCCATAGACGAAAGCCATAAATGATGACCCGTCAAGTTAGCGAAAATATCGTCTGTTCATGCAAATTAATATCGAAATCCATCATTATTTTCGTGTTATCTTCAAAAAAGTGTGAAAAACAATTTTGTCTCCTTAACAACGTGCTTGTGAATGTGCCTCATACAAAACGTCACAGTGCTTTGAAGCGATCCACATAAATCCTACAATGTGGTTATATATAACAAAATAAGTTTTTCAGTATATTTGTCTATAAGTGAATTCTGTTATGCTGGATATGCTGATGACTGAGCAAATATTTCTCGTATAATTCGGAGGGAAGCCACGCAAATTCTTAGTTAGTTGTACTTTAAAAATTTATGCTTATATTCAGTTAGCATACCTACAAAAAGTGTTTTTCTCTCTTTAACCTTTTCGCGATGGCGTACCTTTGTTTAAGACACTCGTGCGGGACGGAAGAGAATCGAATGCAGTCACCGTACAGGACAAAGGTTTGCATCGCTAAGCCTAATTTTACAACAAAAATCGGAAAAATAAAATTTTTTTTCTTTATTTTACATGAAAATATACTTAAAAAATTGCTTATCTTCTAAAATAATTTTCGGAAGCACTATTCAAATTATTCCAAAGTTTTAATTGATAAAATCCATCAATAAAGTTTAAAATTAATAAAAAGAACACAATAAAGACTATTTACAGTAAGAAGTAACAAAATTTAAAATGAAAACAAGTGTGGTAAATCTCGAAGCACAGAGAAGTATGACATTAGAAAATGAATCAGTACTCTCATTTGCGTTAGTAAATGGTTCACTAACCATACTAGGGTATCCTTCCTCTGATAAATAGCGCCTTCCCGCCATAATAGACTGGAGGTGAGGCTTTCCTAAATAAAAAAAAGAAGGAACGGAAATATATCTGAAGGCAATGCAAAACATAAAAAAACTCCACATAGTAACCCTAAAACACCGTACATAGTAGAGGGAAAAAATAGAATAAAAAAAGGAATTGGATATAAATCATATATGAGAATGTTTTCATTAGCATGCAGCGATTGAAAGAGCCCACCTCTGTTTACGCTTACCCTCCGCCCCCCTCGAAAAGCTGATGAGTAAAATACCGAAGTCAAGCAGAATATATCAAACTCAAGATCAGGAACCTAAAACTGTGTTCATTTCAAAAGTAATGGACACAGGATGCCAACTAGTGGCCTTCAGAAAAATGTTCCACCTTAAAATGCATATACGCATCACCCGCCCTCTGAATGCGATCTTTACTGATGCGTGGATGGGACGCCCATCCTGAAAGGGTTAATACTTTCATTGACTTTATTTATTTTGCACTAGTATCGTATGTGAACTTATTTAGTGACTGATTTTCGTATATTTATCTCACGCTGGCAATATATATATATATATATATATGTTTTTGTGAATCATGGCTCCACAACAAACCATCACAGATGATCTTACTATCTCACGTGTTTCTGTCAAGCCTATCCCATTTTGGAAGGTCAATCCCACTTTGTGGTTTGCACAACTGGAGGCCCAGTTTGATATCGCCGGAATCACTGTTGACTCCATGAAATTCAATCATGTGATATCTGCAATCGAATCCGATATTCTCAATAGCGTTTGTGATATCGTTTTGCACCCACCAGTGACTGGCAAATACGATGCACTAAAAACACGCTTAATTGAACTGCATTCTGAAAATGAGGAGTTAAGGATCCGTATACTTCTTCAAGGGCAAGAACTTGGCGATCAACGCCCTTCACAATTACTTTGCCATATGCGAAACCTCGCTGGAGAGACCGTTGGAGAACCTTTGTTGAAATCTCTATGAATATCCCGTCCCCCGCAAAATACAGAGTATTCTTGCTGCCTTAAGTGACGATAACCCAAAACTCGCAGTCGTGGCTGATAAAATTACATATCTCACAACTCTCCCTAACATAAATAGTGCTGCTACGGCATCTAGTTCTCCCACTGAACAGCAAGTTGCAGAGCTGACGAAACAAGTAAATGAACTTTCGCTAGCCACCAAAAACAGCCGTGAGCGTTCCTGTGAATGAGAAGGCGTAATAGATCCAATGGACGTAATCGACAGTATAAAATACCGTGCAACAACATTTGTTTCTACCATACTAATTTTGGTTCCTATGCATGGAAAACTAGATCGGAGATCACTTGTCGGCCAACATTGCGACTGCCACATTAATCGAATTCTTTTGGCCGATCCAACATAAAAACTCACCTTTTTAATTGACACCAGAGACGATTTATCTGTCATTCCCAAGAATTACCCAAAACCAAAAGCCTGCCAAAAGCTCAACTGACTTAATACTCTTTGCTGCTAACGGCACCAAAATAGCAATGTATGGCACCAAACTTTTGACCATCAGTTTAAACTTACGTCGCTCATTTACTTGCCCTTTTGTCCTGGACGTCAATCAACCCATCATAGGTGTTGACTTTCTCACGAAGTTCAATTTACTTATAGATGTTAAAAACAATCGTTTAACTGATGGACAAAACTATATTCTTGTGATAGACTTCCCAATGTGAACCCGCTCAGTACTAGCATTCACATTTTGATGGGTAACTCAAAATTTGACAAGTTCTTGCTGATTACCCCAGCTTGACAAATCCTTCTCAAACTTTTGAGCGGGCACCAATGTCAACAATTTTCCATCACACTGAAACTAAAGGACCCCTATTTTTTCAAACCTAGACTATTATCTTCAGAATTACTTCAAGCTGCACATCAAGAGTTTGACTTTCTCCTATCAAAAGGCATCATTCAGCCTTCAAAAAGTCCTTGGGCAAGCCCCCTGCATATGGTTCGTAAGGCAAATGGCGACCATGCGAGGATTATCATCGCTTAAACGCTGTTACCATTCCGGATCATTATCCCATACCCCATATTCAGGATTGCACTCAAATGTTTTCAGGAAAGAATATATTCTCAATGCTTGAATTAGCCCGTGCCTATCATCAAATCCCTGTTAACCCTACAGGCATTCCAAAAACGGCCGTCACTACCCCTTTTGGTCTTTTTGAATTTTATGCCGTTTAAGTTACATAATTCAGGCCAAACTTTACAATGTTTTATACATGAGGTTTTATTTGGATTGGATTTTTGCATCCTTATTTTGATGACATCCTTACTGCATCAACTAGGGAAGAACGGCACAACCGTCATCTTCGTCAAGTGTTTGATCGTTTGAAAAAACACGGTTTCTTCTTAAACCCTAACAAATGCGTACTCGGAAAACCATCTGTTTCCTTTTTAGGTTGCCTCATTACTGCCTCAGGTGTAAAACCCCTGCCTGAAAAAACAAAAGCAACTGCCGACTTCCCAAAACCTACCACTATTGTCGAGCTCAGATGTTTCTTAGCCACGATACACTTCTATCGCTGCTTCTTATCAAAGGCAGCTGAGACCCAAGCTTCACTGAATGAACTCTTAAAAGATTCACGTAAAAATGATAAACGTCCCGTTCCTTGGAAAGACGAACTCAATCAGGCATTTGAAAAATGTAAACACGACCTCATTAATGCTGCAACTCTCTCCTAACCAAAAGCTGAGTATTATGGTCGATGCTTCTGACATTCCATCGGAGCTGTCTTAAATGTTCGACACTCTAATAACTACCAGCCGCTAGGATTTTTCTCACGTAAACTGCCCCCCACCAAACAAAAATACAGCACATATGACAGTTATTAGCTATTTATGCAGCTATAAAATATTTCAGGCATAGTCTCGAAGGTCAACACTTCACTATATTTACTGATCACCGACCTCTAACTTATGCATTAACATCAAAATCAAATTCTGCTTCCCCGAGACAAATTCGTCATTTAAATTACTCGTGCACAACAAGGAAACCGTTCTGGGAATAGACTGACTGAAGCCTGCTTCTTCGAAGTTTCAAACACTCAGGGTCCTGTGACAAGCGATCCTCCTGCTTCCCTGGACCCAACTGTTTCTCCAGATGCTCCTCCTTCGATCGACCTTAAGCTTCTTCCCAGTGCTCCACCAGTCGTCACACGATTGGGAAGACGTGTGCGCTTCAACACCAGATATTTGTGAACTGATTTTTTTCATCGAACCTTTGGTAATCAGGGGTGGGGGGGAGGGAATATGCTGCAGAACTCATTATTATTATTTGTTCACTGGCCCAAGAGAGAAAGTTACCAGCTTTCTCCCTCTTCTCCACCAGAGGAAAATTCGGAATGGTTACTCTGTTCCTGGCTGCCGTCGGTTAAGCATGCGCTCACCTCTTTTTCGCTTTGTGATGTCTTCGTAGCTGTGATATGACTTTCATGAATTTTTACCTACGTGGACTTGCTACCTATAAAAATGCTTATTGTGCGAACTGTAATCATGTGACTGTGTATCAGTGAACGTGTATTGAAATACATATCGTTTTCTAGCATTAAATAAAAATGTTAAAATCCTCGAGCCAAGCTATCACCGTTTTATCTGCAGCAACCCAAAAGTGGCATCCATAAACGAAAGCCTTAAGTGCACATCTTAAAACTTCATTTAAGACAAAATACATCAGGCTTTATCTTTTAAAACTACCGGAACTTTGATTATAAGAAAAAGAATGCATATGAAAGTGGGGATGTTTGTTGCTAAAATTGAAAAAGCATCATATGCATGATTATTTGAAGAACTGTCAAGGGCATGGTTATCACTATCTGGATCATTCCGAAATTTTGGTGACCCTTACCAAGGTGGTGACACTAATATAAAAGTACTATTTTATTTTACTAGCATTATTAACATATATTTTCATAAACCTTAAAACTTCAAGTTTATTCGTACATTCCAATTATTTCACTAGCATTATTAACATATATTGCCATACAAACCTTAAAACTTCAAGTTTATTCGCACATTCCAAACGTTTCTCTGACCATGCAGGGCTATCCCAATCCAAATCAACAAACTGAACAGCAACAGCAGGAATTTCAGTCAAATGTTTTGCCAACCAATTTGTTTTTAAAATTCCTTTTGGCACATACCAGTCATATGATGTGCGCTGAAATGAAAAGAATTTAATTTACATTCATGAAATATTCTTTGTTTTATACTGTTACAAATGCACAGTATTAATACTTGGTAAAAAAAATTCAGACAATCTGCCCACCTTATAATAACAACACAGAAAGGCTTAAAACACATAATAAGATGAAATAGAAACACAGATGACAACATGGCTTAAAACAAAGAATCTTTTAATCGTACTAATCTTTAAATATTTCAGAAAATGCAGTATGTGCCAGAGAACTGTAAAACAATATCTTGAATTTATACTGATATGTTTAATGTCTGGAAATACTCAAAAATTACTACATGTTAGAATAATATTCCACCTGAACATATTCCAAAATCACGAAAACTGCAATTTCATGATTTAGTAACCAACTGTAAGAGTACATGGTAGGTGACAACAAACAATATTTATCCATTAAAATCATATGATGTGGAGCTTCTTTTGTTTTGATGCATTTCCTCAGAGCCAAGTGTTACCAGTCTGGTTTGGTTTTTGTCCAAACTATAATTATCTTTATAACTATCAGTTAAGCAACCATGTGTTTTCATCAGATTCATTCTTACTGCAATAAATTTCACAACTTGGGATCTGCTGAGAGATGAACAGGTAACTATCATGTTTCTTCGAGATGTTCTTCACAACGAAAGATTGTATTCAAATAACCATTTCATGAAATTAAAATGTGACTTGAAGCTGAAATGGCTATGAAGCTTTTTCTTATGCCAGAAAGAAAAGTGTCATCATAAATCGAAACATTATGGCTGATTGGAATAATTATACTCATCATATGCTATATCCTGCTATAATCTCAATCCAAAATTAAAATCAATGGATGCTACAAAGTTAAGAAAATCATTGAAATATTCTTGACAAAATAATAATAATAATAATGTATACAATATTCTTCCATCACAGTGGTTTTTTTCTGAGGATTTTGTCATGAAATTATAGAAAGTTAGCTAGCTGTTTTTGATCTCTCTCCATTAACATCTCCCATCAACCCAAAAGGTGTGGGAAAAGAAATAAGCCAAAATATGTCAATATGGTGCTGAAAAAGGAAAAATAAAGAAAAAATATTTAAAGAACTTGGTAATTACTGTAGGAATCATCAACGCCCGATGCTGAATTAGAATTGCAAGCAATGACGTCATCACCGCACAGCGCAGTAAGAATCATTCCAGACAGCGTAAGATAGTGTCCAGACGTGGATGTAAGTGGAGATGCGAGCAGACGGCTCACATGCCCTCAAGAGTTGAAGAAGACAGACGGTCTTCTTAGGTCTTATTTTGGAGTTTTGATTCTTCTTTTGATGTTTCGCCTTTAGCTGTTATGACTTTAGATGATCATACTATTTAAAACTAGCTGGGGACTAATGTATTCTATCAACGCCGGAGGAACTCTGTGTGAAAGGACTGTCTGTGATTGTGCATCATTACATGAATCATTCAACATTTAATCTTTACCTAGTTTATCTTTATTATTTTTATTTCTAATTGTTAAATAAAAGCATATTTAAAAATGCTACATTCGAGCTCTCATGCTCTGATTTAAAAGAACCCTACATTACTTTATGCTGAAAAAAGCTACTTTATCAGGGGAAAAAATATAGTTATCTTATAAAGAATTTTCTACAGAAGAAAGGTTTGTATTTACATTAAAAATTGGAGGGGAGGGTTTTTGTACCCAGAATCAAACAGCAAAGGTAAGTAATACAGTCAAACGTCGTTAATCCGGACACCCATAATCTGGAATGATCTATAATCCGGACCTCAAAGCTACAAACTTTCTGCGCTTGCGTTCACGCATGCAGATAGGCCTTTACGCATGCACATAATATGTTTATGCATGCGTGTTTAATGTATAACGGACGGTATAAGCTAAGCTAAAATTATCTAATTCAGTTAATGTTGCAGATTTCATTGTTCCTTAGTCTTTATATTGGATCCGGCTTATTATTTTTTGCAGACTGTTAGAGAAACTTTATAAAAGTAAGCTTGAACTTTCGATTATGGCAAATTGAATTTCCGATCCTGGAGCTGCCAAAGGATCTATTTACAAAGCGAAAGCATGTCCATCAAAAAAAAAGTGGAATTGCTGCAAAAAATGGATAAAGGCATATCCTTTGTTTCTTTAATTATTCCGAAATCTGTTTATCAAATTCACGCTGCTCTGCGTGGGGGGGGGGGATGTCGTGTCATGCAATGAACTGGAAGTTGATCTGTCAGCACTATCCTTATCTTCAAGGCAGACGTTTTTATTTTATTTGGCTTAAAATTCCTTACTAAATGAAATATTTCAACTCGATGTACTCCGTCTTTGATATGATTTAAATCAAATTCCTTGTCATTATAATTCGCTTCCGATACTGAAGAAAGTGACACAGAGGTTTTTGAAAACGAAAAAATTTCAATTGACAAATTAGTCGGTGTTCTCAACACAGCAATTATAGGACTTGAACAGCGGAACTCTGTAACTGAACAAGAAATTATGTCTGTTTATAGAATTAAAGAGAAAGTATTATCACATAAAACGAAGCAACTTAAACAACTTACATTGAAAAAAAATGTTTAATAAAGTAAACAAATAAATATCAAGCTCTCTCTCTCTCTTTTTTTTTTTTTTTTTTTTTTTTTTGTAAATTTTGATACCCTTTAGATCATAACTGTTCTTTATTTCATAAATTACGGTTTCATATTTTTAATTTTATAATTTCTGCATGCCATCTTACCAGATTTAAACTGATGAACTTATGATCTATAATCCGGAAAAATCGATAATCCAGAATCGAAGTCCTGAAGAATCAGGATTAAAGAGTTTTGACTGTATTGTGTAATACACACTACAAACACAAGAAAACTGGTTCCATAATCAGTTATGATAAAAAAGTGAAAAGGCCTAATTTTATTCTTTTACTTGATTTGGCATTGTATCAAGGAGGGCTTCAAAATTTTCAAATGAACTTTAAATGAATTAAAAAAACTTTAGAAGCTTTAAAAAAAAAAAAAAAGTTGAACACAGTGTATGGGAATTCTGCACCATTATTTACTACTGTGAAATTTTTCACAGCTAAATGTAAACATGAGCGTACTAACTAGCATGACAATAACATTCAAGACAACTAAAAACTGTGACCACTGAAGAAAACATCACTAAAATCCAACAAATGGTGTTAATGACCATTGAATCAAGGTTAGAGAGATAAGTGACACTATTAGCATGTCCAAAGAATGTGTTTGCCACATACTGAACTAAGATTTAGATATATGCAACCTGGCTGCACATTAGGTGCCACGTTTGCTAACTTTGGTCCAAAAACATTTCCGAATGAACATTTGCACCAGTCTGTTAGTGCAATAAATCGGAGTTTTTTCAACTATTAATCACTGTAGATGAAACCTGGATTCATCATTACAGCCAAAACAGTGGATTGCAATAAAAGAATTGGCTCCAAAAATGGCTCCTTCTGCTGGGAAAGTGACAGCAATACTTTTGTAGCACAGCCATGGGATTGTCTCAATAGATTATCTTGAAAAGGGAAAACCATTACCGAAGAATTGCATAAACTCGGTATCCATGTACCCCCCAAAATCATCAATTATCGCCAAGGGGCATCCGTAAATATAATTTGACTGTTAACTGTTAAAGTTCAGCTGCTTAACTATGCCAGATAAGAAACATTTATTTACTTCTTGCAATAAATAAATACAATAAAATATACTACTCACATAGTGCTAAAATTTTAAAATTTTCTCTTGTAACTAATACAGAAACTTGCAATCAACTTAGCTAGTTAATCTGAATAAATTAATAAATGTGAACAAATATTAATTGTAAATACTCCATACATGAGTAAACAACGGTGTTAAAATGTTAATTATTGTGTTAATATTAACTTGAGTATCATCAACAAACATGAGTATACATGAGTAACATGAGTATCATCAACAAAAAAATTTTTACCTATAGAAAAAAAAATTTTTTTGTTTTTCATTAAATTTTCAACAAATAAATCTGTTTTTACTTTTAAAATGCAATTTGACTCAAACACTTTTTTATAATCAATAATTACTTGAAAATATTTTCCAAATAATTTCACATCAATATTTCATATAAATTTAGCATAAAATAAATTAGAATTTTAATGCTTTCTAAAGTTACAATAATGCTATTGATAGTTCTACTATTTTATTCAGCAACTGTATACCTCAACTGCAGGGAAAAAATAAGTTTTAAAGGAAAAATATTTTTATAAGCCTTAATAAAATTATTTATTTCTTATTTATTATTATTTCTTTAAAAAAATTGCTTTTGCTATAATTGAGATAATCGTACATCAGCAATATATAATTTATAAAATATGCATTATGTTATATTAACTTTGAAAAAAATTAATAATATATACAAAATTTTCACCTTTGGTTTAGCTTTAGGAAATTCATGGCCAATGGGTAAAAGTTTTAAAAATAATGATACTCGATCTTGCCGGCTTGCATTAAAAGATTCCCATATTGTTCTGTGAATAGCATTATTTTCAACGTCTAAGCCAGTAACTGCAATATATGCTGAAGGATTGGATGTTAATTCTACTGGAAGGTCCCCAATGTCCAAGAGCTTCATTTTTTAAAACTATAAAAAAATAAAAAGAATTGAATAAATTTATTGAAAAATTATGAATATCTGTAATTTATTGTGAATTCTTTTGCTCAGGTGTTTGGGAATAGAAAATGTTAGAAATTGAAAATGTTAATTTAAATTAATAAGCAATAAATACCAAATTAATATCAATCATCCTGGGGTTTGAGTGGCTACCAGGTGCTTTGCCAGGTGGTGGATAGCCAGTTTTTCCATTTCATAATAAATGCTAATCAATATATATAATTTGCTATACCATCAATTTTTCCCCTGTAGCATCTATTACTTCTTTTATATTAAAAAAAATAAGCTGTAACCCATGTGTAGATGTTTATATTATATATATATATATATATATACACAAGATAAAAAAATATGAAAGCAAACTTCTAAATTTAATTCACTATAACCTCTTATTTTCTATTTCATTTGGGAATTTCATCTATCTGTCTTAAAAATAATGCTTAAGTCTAAACTGTGTCATTCAAATTAATCATGCGATCTTACATAACCGTTAATGCAGATGCCTCTTGACCAATCACCACATTGCAAACCAAACCTTTTCTCTTCGTGTGGTTCCATCTTGCATAACTACGCACTTCAGCTTTGACTCTCTACTATGCTAAGATGTAATTTCGCTGGCTTGCTTTCTATCTCAAAAATATCAAAAATGTAAATCTTCTGTGGAAAGACACAACTAGAGTGCCAAGTGATTGTTGCCATGAATACCAATTGCAAATAAAAATGGAATTAAAACTGCCCCGACTGCCAAAATGTTTAGATATTACCAAGTTAACATCATTAGCATACTATGCAATCAAAATTCTTCTTCAATATGGATCTAAGTAAGCATCGATATTGCTTCGGCTTTTCCTAGTGCATTTATTATTACATATATATGAGGGAATCAGAGTCTTTAAATTTCCAGGAGTCAGAGTCCATCATTTTCCCTACAGGCTCCACAGCCCTGCTAAACGGTATCAAAATTTAAAAAAAAAAAAAAAAAAAAAAAAAAAAAAAAAAGCTTAATATTTTATTTGATTACCTTATTAAACATTTCTTTCAATGTAAGTTGTTTAAGTTGCTTCGTTTTTTGAGCTAATACTTTCGCTTTAATTCAGCAGACAGACACAATCTCTTGTTCAGTTACATTGTTGAAGTCCTGTAACTGCTGTTTCGAGAATTCCGACTGACTCATTGATCGAAATTTTCTCGTTTTCAGTAAATTCTCAGTCACTTTCTTCACTATTGATAGTGGTATTTTTTGGATCTAGAACTATACTACAGATTGATTGATGATCGAGAAGCATTGTCATCACAATGAAAAACTTCTTTTATATCATCTTCATTTATAAGCACTTCTCCACATTTATTTACAAAATCCGTTAAACGGAAAATTTCACCTTTAGTTTTTGATATCCGAAAACCTTCAAATTTGTGGCTATCATCATCAAATTTAGCTATCCTTCACTATACATATTTGGCTATGCATCATGAGCGTGGCGACTAACAACAAGTTATTCCATTAAATTTTATCTTGCTTCTATCACGCAGAGACAATTAAGCCTGAATTGTATCAGTTCAGTTATTTATTATACTTAATGTCTATTTCTTGTACATGTTTATCAGAGTTCTGAATAAATAAATTCCCACATATACTTAAGCCTTATTGAGGGCTGGTGCTGGATATCTTACCTCCTAATGTCGCACTGAGTCGCAGAATTTAGGACTCTGTGGGTCATAAATTCTGCGACTCAGTGCCGTCATATGAGCCCTGGTTCTTATGTGAATAATAAATGAGTTATTCTTAATTCAAATAGCCCTAAATGAAATCTTTGGTTCCATGAGTATCATCAACAAAATCTATTTTTAGCATATGGAAAGAAACTTTTGGTAAATGTTTCCTCGTCAACATTTTAGCACAATTAGCTTCAATCTGTAATTATCGCTAAGCGTAAACATAAAAGGTTACCATACTCCTTTATTATTCAATTACTAACGTAAAAACATTTTTTCGGCATTGTTGCACGAGTCATTACTAAAGTTATCATGTTTTGATAAACATGTAGTGATGAAAGGGAAGTATAATAAATAACGACTCACCAGGTGGGTGTCAGATCAATGATGTATCTATATGGAATGTTTCACTTTGAGATGTGTGCCAAGCAGATACACAGTAGCTGGTCCAAATTAGAGATTATACAAATTTATGTTAAAATGATTGTTTCTTCAATAACAAGGTATTTTATTTGGTGTCCAACTGAAATTAAGAATTGACAACTCTACAGATGTTTTATTAGGTGCAGAGGGGGGGAATAAATGCGCATGCATAAAGCCTACGAGAAAAACGTTCTTGGTGGTTTTGAGGTCCAGATTTTAGATCATTCCGAATAATGGACGTCTGGGTTTCGGACTTTGTACTGTAATATTTTATAACCCTGATGCCAACCTGGCGAATCATTATTTATTACAATTTGCTTTCATCACCGCATGTTTATCAACACATGAGAACTTGAGTAATGACTCATGGAGCGATACCAAAACAAATTTTTTTTATATATTAGCAATTGAGAAATAGCATCGTAATTTTTTATGATGATATTACACTTGGCGATGATTACAGATTTACGTTAAATGCGTTAAGAAATGTTGACAGGAAAAGTTTAACAAAATTTCTTTCCATATGCTAAAAGTACATTTTGTTAATGACACTCATAGGCCAAAAGATTACATTTAGTGCTATTTGAATTAAGAATAAAGGATTTGTTATTCACATAAATCCAAAACTAGTACCAAAGTTCATATGGCTGCACCGGGCAGCAGAATATAGGGAAGACAAAGGGAAGCGCTTGGTAGCAGAATTAAAGAACCACAGCGACTGCATCAGACATCAGCTCTCAACAAGTATATGTGGAAATTAATTCTTTCAGAACTCAGATAAGCGTTAAGCATGTGCAAGAAATAGGCAAAAGTTTAATAAATAAACTAATACAATTCAGGCTTACTTGTCTCAGTGCACGATAGAAGCAAGATAAAATTCAGCGGAACAACTTCTCCTTAGTCGCCAACCTCATAATGCATAGCCAAATATGTATATTGAATGATAGCTAAATTTTATGATGATAGCCACGAATCTGAAGCTTTTTGGATATCACAAACCAAAGGTGAAACTTTCCAATTAGAGGATTTTGTAATGAAATGTGAAGCGGTAATAAATGAAGAGGACAAAAAAGAAGTTTTTCACTATGATGACACTGCTTCTCAATCATCAATCAATTACCGGATGGCAAAATCTGTAGTACGATTCTAAATCCAGAAAATACCACTACAGAGTGACAGAAAAGAAAAAATTTTGATTGACAAGTTAGTCGGAATTCTAGACACAGCAATTACAGGACTTCAACAATGGAACTTTGTAACTGAATAAGAAAAAAAATATGTCTGTCTATAGAATTAAAGAGAAAGTATTAGCACAAAAAACGAACTTAAACAACTTGAAAGAAATGTTTAATAAAGTAATATTTTTTTTGTAAAATTTGATATATTTCATAAATCACAATTTCATTCTTTTAATTTTATTATTTCTACATGCGATCCTGCTAGATTTAAACTGTTGATCTAATATCCGGAAGAATCCCAAAGTTCTGACGAGTCCAGATCTGGGACTTTGTATTGCATATGATCATCTGAAGAAGACTGGCTATATAAGCTACAATGATTTATTGGTACCCCATACTTATGCAGCAGAATATGCTTGTTTGCTCAAATTTTGGCATGCAATTCTTTGCTGAAAAGAAATAAAAAAACTTTTTCTTTTGGCAGATGATATTTCATCATATTTTGCTTTAACTGAAAACGTATCATAAGAATTTTGACCTACATTAGGAAATTACCGCATGTTTAGTAAAAAAATATAGTAATATATTTCAAGTGGACATAGTAAGATGCTAAACATTAATGGCATTTCAAAAACGTAATTATTCATGATTATAAAAATGGCAAGATTGTTCAAAATATCAAAAAAAAAAAAAAAAAAAAAAAAAAAAATCCTTGATGTAGAGTGTTCAATATCTTGGATGCATTAAAATGACAGAAACTGCATGGAAGTTTAGATTGCATTCCAAACTAACAAAGAATCGGAGATTTATCACATGAAAAAATTAACAAAATCCAAAAATTACTGCTGTAAAACTTGCAGTGGATTAAGAAGAATGGTGTGCAATAATATTTAACCCTAAAACTATTAGAAAAGTCATTACGACATATGGATACACAGCATGAAGGAAATTCTTTTTCAACAAAAAACGATGAAAATAAGCCTGGTGTTCACTAAATCTATGGTCAACAAAGATTTACATTAGAATAATACTATATTTACACATGAATCAAAATTTAATATATTTGGGTCTAGTGGACAAATTAATGTGTGGTCTAGCGGACAAATTAATAATGAAGAACTGAATGTGAAAACCTATTGCATACTTTTCAACATGGGGACTTGAGGCATTATGGCTTGGGGATGTTTCGCTGTCTCTAAAATGAAAAATTCAGCTTTTATAGAAAAAAATAATGATCAGATTAAATATATAATTATTCTAAATAAAAACTTGAAAGCATCTGCAAGAAAACGAGAAATGCAAAATACTATCAAGTTCTATCAGGATAAAGTTCCTAGGGTTTTCATCCGCAGAGAACCCGTTGGCGCTTCGGGAAAGAACCTGTTGACGCCGTTGCATTTTTACTCGGCAAGCTCGCGGTTCATCGACGATGAGCCGAGCCGTAAACGTGATTTTTAGTGCATGTAAATTCAAGTTAGCAGATAAAACAATATATTAAGCATATGGTAGTAAAAATTCACAGATAATAAGCATGTAGATGTAAAACTAACCGGATAAATGTGATATACGAAAATAAATTTGTATTAAATTCAAGTTAGCACAGAAAAGGATATATTATTAAGCATAAGACAATATATAAGCATTTATAAACGGAAA